GAGAGAGAGAGAGAGAGAGAGAGATTTTAAGTGACATTAGTGCTTTTAAAAAATGGAAAATATTTTTGAGATTTATCACCTGTAAAATTATAATTTTGGGGGGAATATTGTTAATCAAATACAGCCAGCATTTCTTTTTAATTTTGGAATTTCCTAAGTAAATAAATAATAAAATAACTATTTAATTGACTGTCCTGATGCATCTCAGTAATCCAGGAAGATAAAAAAAATCAAAAAGACAAAATAAGTAGGTCCTCTGGATGGGTTTGTTTTGTCTCTCCTCCAAGAGACTTCTTCAGTCAGATGAGTTTCAGGTGAACTCAGCCTTAAAAGCACTGCCTCCACATGGTGGACAAACAGGTTAGTCACAAGCAAAAGAGGGCCATCGCTTCACAGTAGGCTTGATTAGCTCTATTGTTCATAGTTCTATTGTTCATTTAATTGGCTCATTAAATAGTTGTTTTTTTAATGTAAATCTGTGACCATGTTCTAATTTTTGTAAAGTTATGCCAAAACTTTTTGATGTAAAATCTATTATGTGTCAATTTGGGCTTATCTTCCTTTTATGTTTCCATTTATTTGACAGTTAGTTTTTTTAATGTATTTATTTATTTTTTGTTTGTTTTTGTTTTGTTCCCTGACTTAGTTTGTTTTACTGATTTCTTTTTAGGGCAAATTCACCTTTGTTGACCTTTGCACACAAGCTTATCTTTTTCAAACTTTCCCTCAAAGTACTAAAACATTACAAGGTGCATTTTGTTGATTGAGATGATTTCTTTTAACTTTACTCTTCTTTTCACAGTGGTTTTTGTTCTCCAAAGTTCAAGATCATTTGCATGGCTGTGTGTGTTCTGTAAAGTGTTTTATTGTATGGATTAGCAATATATATAATATGTGAATTGTTGTACATTTGCATGCTCTGTTTCCCCGATCCCGTTTTTCTCCTATTGTATTTTTTCTCTCTCTTTTCTCATTTCCTCTCCATCAGTAGCTAATCAACCTGAGACATGTCAAATCACTGGGTATGTGCTCTTGGTGGGATCAGGTTAATCTCTGGAATGAGGATGATATAAGCCTAACATGATAGGGTAGAATCCACATAAAAATAATTTCATTCCCATATTTTCATATCAGTGGAAATGTCACATTCACTGACGGTGATGGAGCAGTGATTTTATTGCTTTTTTTTTTTTTTGAGGAACCAATTTGCACTTATTGAAATGAATTCAAAACCATGGAACTTTTGTTGAAAATGTCTAAATTATACACTTTGAACCAGTTTAAAATACTACATGTCAGATGTCTTGGTTTTTCACTTCATTTCCATTCAGAATATTGCCTCCTGTTTTAATGCACTGGTCTTTTTGCCTTTCTTCAGCATTTGGACAGAATGAATGCCATGACCCAGGTGTTCCTGTCAATGGTCAAAGGTATGGTGACCAGTTTCAGCTTGGAAGCTCAGTGGCTTTTCGCTGTGATCAAGGATTCATCAGGACACAGGTGATTGTTAAATATATAAAAATATCAAATGTACTTTGTAATTGTTTAATGCAAAACCCAAGTTGATAATATATACATTTTTTTCAGGGGTCGGATCAGATCACTTGTATCATTCAGGATGGAAAYGTAGTTTGGTCTGCAGCTGTACCTCGATGTGAAGGTGAACAAAAACAGATGCATGCAGGATCTTTATTACACACATAAATAAACAACAATCATTTAAAATGGTCTACTTGCAAAACTATAGATGACAAAGCATTTGAGCTGCGGTTGTTACTGTCCAACCGTTGTGTAAGCATTAGCAAATAAAACAAATTAGTTTTTTAATTGCTTTTCGTTTTTCAGCTTTTCTAAACCTACTGTCTGTGAACACATTTTCTTAAACTCAGCAGAAATAATTATTATATATACAAAAAAAACTATCTGAAAATAAGCTAATAGTAAAGAAAATGCTGAACACTGTTATTTAAATAGTTTTTGAAAGCATCTGACATCCCCTGGCTCGTGTGGTATTTTCATATTCTTCCCCCACTTGCATCTTGATTGTATCACTTAAATGACATTATCAAATGTTGCTTGTCGTTAATAAATTGGATGGCGGAGACATTCAAATTGAAGAAGTTCATCACCTTATTAAGTATGAAGCATGGAGGGAAAATGTTTCTTCCCTATTGGATGGGGAGAGAAAATTAGGTTTTATTTATAGAATAATTTTATTGTGGCTCTTGTCCCAAAGTACTGCTTAGAAATTCAGAGTGTGTAGCAAAGTTACAGGCCTGCTGAAAGTCTGGATTTACACTACTTGAAATGAGATAAAGTGATAAAATTTGTGCACAGTAATTCAGCAAAGAAAATAACCCAATCATAAAAGTGAGGTCTCTTTTCCCCTGATATAGTTTATCTACATATAGCAGTTGTTTGTGTGACAGAAAAAAAATGAAAATGAAGGCAAGGCAAACCTAAAACTTAACTAGACCTATTTCTTTCTTTTTTAATGAGTCAGAAATGAGGTGTTCTGATTTGTAAATTTGTGTCAGTGCATGTAAATTTTACAGCTCGTGGTTTTATGAGTTTGCACAGATCTCAGGTTATGTTTTTTGGCATCATTTGACACATAAATATACTTGATTCCCCCTTATAAATTAACATAATATAATTGCGTAAGGCTTTTTTTCAAACAGGCAAAGCTCAGATTTGTTTACTGTAGCACACGATTGGCTCAGTATAATTTCTGATGGTAAATATTTTTTTTTTTTTGTGTGTGTGAGCTGGAGAAATTCAGAGTGGATTAGAGTGCTAAAATAAATTGAGCAGATGATGAATCTGCAAAGTTAATGGAATGTAAGCCTCGTGCTCATGCCGTGCCGCAGCGACAAGACAAAAATGATTAATTTTATTATTGGTTGTGGTTGTTTGCTTGTGTTTGTCTTCGTCTTCCTGCAGCTCCCTGCGGAGGCCATCTCACAGCGTCGACCGGTGTTGTTCTGTCTCCTGGTTGGCCTTCATTCTATAAGGATTCTCTTAGCTGCCAGTGGGTGATTGAAGCACAAACAGATCATGCTGTAAAAATCCACTTTGACAAGTAAGTTCTTTAATTTTACATTCATAGAATAAATAAATAAATACATAAATAAAAAAGTTGTATTTGGTTGCCTGAAAGTTAAGCATGTTTCTTTACATTTTCCRTGTTACCTAGTTGTTTGGTATGCTTAAGAAGTACATAACTGAGTTATTCAGTCTCTAAGGTAGTCTTCAGATGTAACATAAGAGATATAAATGAAGTCCATGAGTTACTGCAGTGTATGATTAATGTTTGCTTCTTACATATCTTTTCCTTTTTTATTTTTTATTTATTTATTTTTCTGCAAACAAGCCACAGAAAAATTGCTCTCGCCTGAATCCACTGTAGCTGAAATTTGTCTTTTTGGGGCGTGATGTAAAAGCCAAGGTATCTTCATCATCTTGGAGGCATTTCATTTGTAAAAGGATTGCACTGCACACACGACTGATGCAAAGCTTAATTTGTTTCTTTTCATTTAGGGCAGTCAGATTTTATTCTTCAGATGTTTTTTGTGGTTCCAGTGTCTTGATTTCCTTTACCACTGTGCTGTCAATTGTGTGTATGAGAAGTCTCTTTTTGTAAATCATTTTACCTTTGACAGCTAAATTGATAACCAGCAATGTTATGGATCCTGAAAGTCTACTTTGATTTTCAGAAACAACTGTAGAAAATTTTTCATCAACAAGTCAATTACTCAGTAAATAAATTACTAAGGAGAACAATGTGTTTCTTTGTTTGACAGTTCACCTGAGTTTATTTATTTATTTATTTATTTATTTTTTACATTTAAAGGTAAAACATGAATCAGCAAATTTTATTTGGATGAACTGGAAGTCATCTGTCTCTGCTCAGTTATCTGATAATGTGACTTTATTTTTTTCTGCTGTTTGTCACAATGTCCTACTTAGATGAAATTGTTTGGTGTATATGCCAAGTTAGAACACATTTATTCTTTCCTTTCTTTGTGTTTTCAGGTTCCAGACAGAAGTCAACTATGACACATTAGAGATCAGGGATGGGCCCTCAGCCTCCTCCCCCCTGATTGGTGAATACCATGGCACCCAGGCACCTCATTTCCTGATTTCCACATCCAACTTCCTGTTCCTGTTGTTCACTACAGACAACAGTCGTTCGGCAGCAGGCTTCAGCATCAGATTTGAAAGTAAGTCTGATTTACTGACGGAAAAAATGTCTTCCACAATCATTTTACAACCCCTGGCAAAAAGCATGGAATCACTCAAATTGGAGTTAGAAAATAAGGACACACCCAGTCAATTTCCTTTCCCTAAATGGACACCTGCCTCAGATTAGATCTGCTTGTTAGTCTGCAGTTGAAAACACCTGCAGGCATGACACCTTGGAGGGCTGCTGGACAAAGTGGAGCGGCAAGAACCATGGCTCCAACAAGAGAAATGTCTCTTGAAACAAAAGAGAGGATTGTGAAACTTCTTAAAGAAGGTAACTCTTCATGCATGGTTGCTAAAGATGTGGGCTGTTCACAGTCAGCTGTATCCAAGATATGGACCAAATACAAACAGCATGGAATGGTTGTTAAAGCCAAGTGTACTGGTAGACCAAGAAAGACATCAAAGCATCAGGACAGACAACTTAAGGCCATTTGTCTATAAAACCAATAAAGTACAATTAAACAGATGAAGCATAAATGTGAGGAAGCTGGAGCCAATGTATGTGACCAAACCATAAGAAATCGCCTAAAGGAAATGGGATAACCATCATTGACACCTAAACAAAAAAGAATAAGACTGCAATGGGCTAAGGAGAGGAAATCATGGACTGTGGATGACTGGATGAAAGTTATCTTCAGTGATGAGTCAAGAATCGGCATTGGACAAGGTGATGATGCTGGAACTTTTGTTTGGTGCCGTTCCAGTGAGATTTATGAAGAGGACTGCCTGAAGAA